GGGAGCGGCCAAGACCCGCCAATACCGCGGGACTTTTAAACTCCTCTTGGGTTTAAAGAGAATCCTAAAGTGAGGGCAGCCTTCTTACTCAGATTAGTGTTGGAGCCTGGGTTGGAGGAGGTGGGATTTCTTATGTCCGAATACGGGACAGTTTCGAGTCCAGGGAAGCTCCAGGACTTTTGATGTCCCCTCATCAACTGACACGCGCATAAAGGCTGTTAACACATACACCCTCTTGCTGCAGAACTACTCTCATTGGAGCCTGCTGTGCCGGGAAGAGGGGACCTGGTTCCTGGCTGGAATCAAAGACTTCCCCAGTGACTGCCTGCGTCCCAGAGTTTTCTACCCGCTGCAGACCCACGGTCCATGGATCAGCCATGTGACTCGGGGGGCCTACCTGGAGGACCAGCTGGCCTGGGACTGGGGCCCTGAGGGAGAAGAGACTGAGGCACAAACTTGTCCCGCTCACACAGAGAATGGTGGTGAGGAGGGGCCTTTGGGGCTTCGGGGCTCCTGGGAGGGCTTAGATCCATGGTAGGGGCTTTGAGGGTCAGCTGTGGAGTCCCCACTCAGGGGGTCATCTCCTCTCCCTAGCCTGTGGCCTGCGGCCAGAGCCAGCTCTGATGGGGGTCCTGTGGCCCTGGCTGGCAGAGGTGCATGTCGCTGGAGAGCGCGTCTGTGCTGGCATCCTCGTGGCCCCAGGCTGGGTTCTGGCAGCCACTCACTGTGTCCTCAGGTGGGTCTCACCCATCTTCCTGGCAAGAGGGAGACACTGGGAGAGGGGCCAAAGGACAGTAGCAGGCTGTTCTCCCTTTAGGGCTTTTATTGCACCAGGAAATTGTTCGAAGTGTTTTGAGACAGAAGAGAGATTTCAAAGGAGGACTAATGAAGGAGTTACTGGACTGACCCTGGATATTTGTTCCACCCTTTCCCATGGGCTGGGCTTCCCTGGTGGCTCAGAGGTTAAAGCGTCTGCCTGCAATGCGGGAGACCTGGGTTTGATCCCTAGGTTGGGAAGATCCCCTGGAGAAGGAAATGGCAACCCACTCCAGTATTATTCTTTCCTGGAGAATCCCATGGATGGAGGAGCCTGGTGGGCTACAGTCCACGGGGTCACAAAGAATTGGACACGACTGAGCAACCTCAATTTTTCCCCCTGGGCTGGGAAGGATTTATCAGCAATGAGGGGATCAGGAAGTGACCCTGGACCTTGTTTCTGCAGGCCAGGCTCTACAACGGTGCCTTATATTGAAGTGTACCTGGGCCGGGCGGGGGCCAGCCCTCTCCCCCAGAGCCACCAGGTGTCCCGGTTGGTCATCAGCATCCGCTTGCCCCGGCACCTGGGACTGCGGCCCCCCCTGGCCCTCCTGGAGCTGAGCTCCCGAGTGGAGCCCTCCCCATCAGCCTTGCCCATCTGCCTTCACCCAGGGGGTACCCCCCTGGGGGCCAGTTGCTGGGTACTGGGCTGGAAGGACCCCCAAGACCGAGGTGAGAGCCCTGGGTCCTGGGGACGAGAAGGGACAGGATGTCACAATGCCTGGGACAACCTTCCTTCCTGTCTCTAGTCCCTGTGGCTGCTGCTGTCTCCATCTTGATGCCACGACTCTGTCACTGCCTCTATCAAGGCCTTCTGCCTCCTGGAACTCTATGTGTTCTGTATGCAGAGGGGCAAGAGGACAGGTGTGAGGTACGGGATCTGGGTATCCTGGCCCGGTCAGGACAGAGGCTGTGCTGGGCAGCCGGATGCCAGGGGGAGAGCAGGGTAGGGATTCTTAGGTGCTGGGTTTCAGATGGGAAGAGGCAGTGCTTTCTGACTGGACCTCGGGAGAGACCAGGGGCCAAGATGCCTGAGGATGGAGAGGAACAGTGGCTTGTGACTGGGTCCTAGGAGGCGCAGGGGACCGGAAGGAAGAGTAAGGGCCCCTGTTGGTCTTGCCCTGATGCTGCAGGTGACCTCAGCACCTCCGCTCCTGTGCCAGACTGAGGGAGGCTCCTGGGTCCTCGTGGGCATGGCTGTTCGAGGCAGCCGGGAGCTGTTTGCTGCCACTGGCCCTGAAGAGGCCTGGATCTCCCAGACAGTGGGGGAGGCACCTTTCCTGCCCCCCAGCAGCTTCCCCCACTGGCTCACTGAAGGCAGCGACCTCTGTCCCCCTGACATGGCCAGGGCCTCAGGTTCCCCGCGGGCTGCTCTTTTCCTGCTGCTTCTGACCCCCCTGATCCAGGGCTGAGGGCTGACCTCTCCTGGCCCGGGGCCCTGGGCTACCTCCCCTTCACCTCCCCACCCCCTTCCACCCTCCACTTCCCGCCCAGTGAGGCTGGAATGTAGCCCAACTGGCTCCCGTTCCCTTACCCAGAACCTCTGGAGCGCTCCACCCACCTAGACTGCAGCGGCTTCGGATAATTGGGCCTCAGTGCCCAGCTATTTCGGGCTGTGGCATTCTTGAGGGCAGCGGGAGCCAGCGGACAATAAACATGTAAACACAGACACGTGGCCTTGTGGCACGGCTGGAGGCAGGCTGAGGGGGCCAAGGGGGGCCCCAGGGATGGGCCTCTTCCTCCTGGGCCTCTGTGAGTCAGGCTGTGGGCAACCAGGAAATGTGTCTCCGATAAGGTGGCAGCTGTCCCTCATTCCTGCCCCAGGGCGGGGGCGGTTGCATGGCCAGCTGGGTGTGTGTCACGTCCCCAGTGGAATCAGCGTCCCCGACACCTGCTGGCCACCTCAGCCTTGGCCTTGCTGCCCCTCCCCCTCGAGAGCAAGAAGGACTGAGGGTGAGGGTCAGCGGGAGAGTCTGGGGGTCTGGGAGTCCGGGGTCTGTCTGTCATATTCTGCACCCACAGGGAGCCTCCCCCACATACACACCCTGATGAATGGTGTCCCAGAGTGTACGCCTCTGGAGTCCTCGTGCACACACCACACTTGTACCTTTCAAGGGCCCACCACATCCTGCCCAAAGCCCCCAGGGTCTGGACCCCATCATGAGTCCCTCATCTGTACATCTCACAGCCTCTTCCCATCACTAACCAGTGTGTGTGTGTGTGTGTGTGTGTGTGTGTGTGTGTGTTAGTCGCTCAGTCGTGTCTGACTCTGCGACCCCATGGACTGTAGCCCACCAGGCTCCTCTGTCCATGGGATTCTCTGGGCAAGAATACTGGAGGGGGTTGCCATTTCCTCCTCCAGGGGAATCTTCCGAACCCAGGGATCCAACCCTAGTCTCCCGAATTACAGGTAGATTCTTTACCATCTTAAACCACCAGGGAAGCCACAGCCAGTGTAGCTCCCTATATTAATTCAACCACGTTTCCTGCTAACTACTGACTCCTGGCTAATTCCAGCTAACTCAGGACTCTGTGCTTCCACTGCAGGGGGTGTGGGTTCCATCCCTGATCAGGGAACTATGATCCCCGCACTCCATGGAGTAACATGGCTGGTACCTTGACAAGCCCATGAAATGCTCCCAGCATGGTGGGGAACACATGGTCTGGGGGTCAGGAGAAAGTCCTAGAGGAGATGATGTTCTAGCACAGAATAAAAGCAAAGGAAGACCCATATAGGGCAGGAAGGTTGCTTGGGTGGAAACCAGCCGCTAAGGGTAGCAATGGGGGCTACCCCCAATGAGGGCACCTCTGTGGCTGGAGTCACCGTTTGCAGATGGCTGAGTCACTCATATGCAGCAGAGGGCTGACTAGGCAGAGGGTAGGGGGAGACCTACAGGAAAGCTGGAAGTTCATCCCCTTTCCCAATCAAGGAATTCCCTGCCCTCCAGCCTGGGCCCTAAAGTCCTGGCTCAGAGAGCCAGATGCCTGTCTCAGGGAAGGAAGGTGGGCAAGTGGGGCTCTCTTTTTCTAAAGCTTGAAGTCAACATACATTCCCAGTTGCCTGAATTTCTACAGTCACAGAGGAAGCACCTGATTCCCCAGGCCAGGCACATGGGCCCCCTGCACCCTCCACTTGAGGACCCTTCACTTGGACCACCCTTCCCCATCTTTGCCTTGTTAACACCTTCTCAAAACCCTTTGAGGTCTCAGTTCGAAAGCACCTTCTTGAGGAGCCCTTCTTGATACCAGCCTAGGTCGGGCTCCTGTCAATGGCCTCCAGGGCACCCCCCACCCCGCCTCACCCCCAGCTTCTTTCTCCATCTCCAGCCTCGCCTGAAGTTATTCTGTAATTGCTTGTGTCATCCTGTGATTCAGGTCTGTCACCTCAACTTCACCATGAGCTCAGGGAAGGCAGGACGGTGTCCACTTTGTCTCCTGTACCTGGAACATATTAGGCTCTCAATAAATATGCATGGAATGATGAGCATCCCCGTACATGTCACCACACCTCACCACATGCAGATGAGGTTGCAGGCTCCACAGTAGGGCCTGAAAGAGCCCTAGCCCCGGGGCAGAACCGGGTGTCCTGGGGCTCAGACACGAGGCTCCAGGAGGGGAGGGAAGGAGGGAGCAATGGCCTAAGATAACAGAGGCCAGGCCGGGCCCTGAGGGGGCTTAACAGGTATGGGAGACTTGAAAGACCCGGGCCCAAGAGCAGTTGGGTCAGGAATCCAGACATCCAGGTTTCCAGCCCTGCCTGGGGCTGCTTAAGCAACAGCTCCCCCACCTTCCCGCCCACCACACACACAGCCTAGGGGTCTCTCTCTCTCTCTCTCTCACACACACACACACACACACACAGCCTAGTTTGGTGAGAGAGGCCGGCGGAGCTGAGCAGGGGGGCGGGGCCAGGGGCGGGGCAGACAGGTAGGCACCCTTTCCTGGGAGCTGCCACTCCGGAAGGAAGGTCGGTGCGTACCCAGGGCGATCTGGAGACCGGTCCTCACCGCCCAGCTGCAGAGACCCCAACGTTTCCCTTGCGCCCGCTTCCTGCCTTCGAAGCCAGCCTTGGACACCTGTTTCTCCTGCCTTTCGCGATCCTGACACCTGGAGCTCACCTTTGACCCCCCACCTCGCCTGTGAGGACACTTCCCCTGGGTGCTCGGGGCACCTGGTCCTGCGCCATGGCCGGGAGGGCTGTGGTCACTGTGCTTTTGCTTGGATTATTCCAGAATGGGATAGGTGAGTGTGGGCGCGGGCGGGGAGCAGGGGGCAGGCGAGGGTGGGAAGGAGAGGAGGGGAGTGCACTGGGGCCAAGGGTATAACCCTTTTCGGGGGTACGTCCCTTATTGTGGGCTCAAGAACCCCCGTCTTCAGCCTCACTGGCTCTTGGCCTGTCTCCCCAGCTTTGGTCTCCTGGGGCTGGGATAGAGGATGGGGAAGCCTCCAGAAGAAGCAGCAGATGGTGGGGGGGTGGGAGGGGGCGGCCTGGGGTCTGAACTCTAGAGTCTTCCCTGCTTACCCCTCCCTCTTTCTCTCTCCCTCCAGGAGCCGTTGGAGCTGAAGGTGAGGCTCACCCGGGAGGAATGGGGGATGGGAAGGTGAGGGGTGGGGCCAGGGGTTCAGATTTCCATGGAGCATTGGAGCACCTGACCCTCTGCAAAGCTGTTTCGTCCACTGCCCTGGTCTTATTTATTTAGGTCCCTGGTAGCACTTGAGGTGGGGACGACAGCCTCAATCTTTAAGACAGTGAGGGGCAGAGAAGTGACTTGCCCAACGGCACACAGCCAGTGTGTGTCAGTGCTGGGATTTAAAGTCAGGTCTGAGCCCAAAGGTGGGTTGTTTTGAAGGGAACAAACCAAGGGTCAGTCTCATTGGCAGTCCCAGCTTCACCATGTACCGGCTATGTCTCATGCGGTCAGTCCCCTCACCTCTAAAATGAAGTTGAAAGAATTCCCTGGTGGTCCAGTGGTTAGCACGCTGTGGTTTCACCGCCAAGGGCCCGGTTTGATCCCTGGTTGGGGAACTAGGATCCCACAGACCATGCAGCGCAGGCCAAAATAAAATGAAGTCAGTTCTGTCTACCTCCTGGGGCTGCTTAAGGAGTCAGGAAGATAAAGGAAGTGAAAGCCCCTTCAGGGCCTGGCATTGCTTGAACTGTTGGTCTCTAAATGGTAGCTATTGTCCTTTTTATGAGGAGACGGGGAGGAACCTACCTGGGTGGTTTTCCCTGCACCTGAGAAGGTGACTTTGTGAAGGGCATTTGGGTCCTGCTCCAAACAGTGGCCTTCACAGGGGTGGGGCTGTCCTGGAAATGAAATGAGATGCTCACACCCTGGGATCCAGGATGTCCTATTCATTTGTTCAACACATCCACGACTCCATTTGTGTGCCCAGCACTGGGGACGTGTGAGTCTGCCCTCGTCTCTACCCCTAGGGAACGCCCAAGTTGATTGGCTGAAGTAGACAGTGAGAATGCAAACAGCCCTGTCCAGGAAGCATAGACCCTGGGAGCTCTGAGGCATCACCTACCTCAGCCAGCAGGGTGACGGCAGACTTCAGAGGGACTGGTATTTGAACCACCTCCATAGGCAAATAGAAGTTGTTGCTGTTGTATTCAGTTGCTAAGTTTTGTCCAACTCTTTGCAACCCCATGGACTGCAGCATGCCCGGCTGCTCCAGCTTCTATCTCCCGGAATTTGCTCAAATTTTCGTCCATCGAGTCGGTGATACTGTCTAACCATCTCATCCTCCGCTGCCCCCTTCTCCTTTTGCCTTCAGTCTTTCCCAGTGTCAGGGTCTTTTCCAATGAGTCGGCTTTTCACATCAGGGGGCCAAAGTATCACCATTTCACATTTCAAATAGAAGTGGGGATGAGGAAGACTACCCTAGGTGGAGTGATCTGAGTAAGCAAAAGTCTGGAGGTCTAGTGTGTGGCCCGACGTGAGTGTCCAGATAGATGGCTGGAGTGGATGGCAGTGCCATGAGAGGTCTGAAATCTCTCTTAAGGGCAGAGTGGAGCCAGGGAAGGATTTAAGCAGTGGTGTGAACTGGCCAGATATGTAAGGAGTAGATTAGATGGAAGGCAGGAAGGCCCGAGAGGACAGAAGCTGAGTGAGACCTTTAATGAGCCACTTGGCCAAGGACAGCAGGTGACTGGTGAGCTGGGGGCTGGGGACAAAGCCTGACTGGCTTCTGTGAACTCACCTCTGAAGCTCCAAACCAGACTTCCTGGGCTGTAACGGGCTAGGAAGTGGTCTGGTGGCTCCAGAGGTCCTGACCCCCTCCCATTCCTCTGCCGGCAGCCTCTTGTGGTATGGTCCCTCAAGCACGTATCACAGGTGGTACCGATGCAGCTCGCGGCCAGTGGCCCTGGCAGGTCAGCATCAACCACCACGGCACCCATGTGTGTGGCGGCTCTCTTGTGTCCGAGCAGTGGGTGCTGTCGGCTGCTCACTGCTTCCCAAGGTACCCATGGGGTGGGGGGCAGGGTGGGGAAGTGGGGCGGGGCGGGGGTCAAGATTGGAGGATCAATGTAGGTCAGAGACTGGGGGTTCTTGGATTGGATCTAGGGGGTATCAATAAAGCCTGTTAAAGATCTGTCGGGAGTGAAGGCCAGAGGTCACAGATCACAGGATAAAACTAGGATGCAGAGTGGGACCCAAAAGGTCAGCCCCTCTGCCTTCACCCCTCTGTCTGCAGGGACAACAAGATAGAAGAATACGAGGTCAAGCTGGGCGCCCACCAGCTGGACTACTATAGCACTGACATCCAGGTCCGCGGGGTGGCCCAGGTCATTTCCCACGAGACCTATTCCCACGAGGGCTCCATGGGGGACATTGCACTCCTCCAGCTCAGCAGCTCCGTTACCTTCTCCCGCTACATCCGGCCCATCTGTCTCCCCGCAGCCAACACCTCCTTCCCCAATGGCCTGCAGTGCATTGTCACTGGCTGGGGCCATGTGGCCCCCTCAGGTAAGGGACGGGGCTGACGTCTAGAGACACAGAGGGGAGCTGACTCAGGCCAAGAGACCCTGGGTAAGCATCTTTTGCCCCCCACAGTGAGCCTCCCGAACCCCCGGCCACTGCAGCAACTTGAGGTACCGCTGATCAGTCGTGAGACCTGTAACTGCCTGTACAATATCAATGCCAAGCCCGGGGAGCCCCACCTAATCAACCAGGACATGCTGTGTGCTGGCTACGTGAATGGGAGCAAGGATGCCTGCCAGGTAAATGCAGGGGGTCCGGGTGAACGGAGGAGACAGGTGTGTCTTGGGCGATGAGGGCTTAAGGGGGCTTGGCCTGAATGGTTGGAGGCCTGGGGTCCCGTCCTGACAGCTGTTGTGTGGATTTTCTTTTCAGGGTGACTCTGGAGGCCCACTTTCCTGCCCAGTGGCAGGCCGCTGGTACCTGGCAGGCATCGTAAGCTGGGGTGATGCCTGTGGGGCCCCTAACAGGCCCGGTGTTTATACCCTGACCTCCGTTTATGCCTCCTGGATTCACTACAAAGTGGCAAATCTCCAGCCTCAGGTGGTGCCCCAGATGAAGGAGTCCCAGCCCGATGGCCACCTCTGCAGCCACTACACGGGTTTCAACTCTGCCCCAGCCCAGGGCTTGGTGGGACCCATCCTTCTGCTGCCACTTGGCCTGACCCTGGGCCTCCTCCGCCCACTGCGTGAGGACTGAACTACTCACGCCTGGGAGCTGCTCTGCTTCCGAGACCTCCACACCACACCCAAGGACGGACACTGTTCCCGTGTTAGGCCCCACCCGGGACACTCTGGGCCTGGGGCCTGACTTGAGTCACTCCCTCCTCCCAGGACCCTGTGGGAGTTCAAGGAACCATCCTGAACTCTGAGCCCACTCTTCTGGATTGTTCTTTGGGACGGTAACCTCCATTGCAGGAGTTGATTGCCTGTGGTACTGGCTAGAACCTCTGGTCACTTCCATCTGCTGTCCACAAGCCTATCTGTTGGGCTCCTATGGAGCCCCCAAGGACCCTCAGCTATGAAAATGGGCCCTGGCTCCCTACCCATTTCTAGAAGACTGGCCAACTTGAAGGCTACTGAAGGACTGGCTCAGCACCTCACCTGCTCTGTCTGATGAGCCCCATCACTTCACCCTCTTCTGGGCCCGGGCTGCCTCTGAAGTGTGTCAGTCGCTTAGCTGTGTCTGACTCTTTGCGACCCCGTGGATTGTAGCCCGTCAGGTTCCTCTGTCCATGGGACTCTCCAGGAAGAACACGGGAGTGAATGGCCATTCCCTTCTCCAGGGGATCTTCCTGACTCAGGAATCAAACCCTTATCTCCTGCATTGCAGGTGGATACTTTACTATCTGAGCTACCAGGGAAGCCTGGGGCTGCCTCTGGGCAACAGGTTTTCAAGGACAAAAAAGGCCCCAATCTTGCCTCATTGGCTGCCATGCCCCCCCTTCAGCCCTGACTTCTGGACTCCGGAGGACTGAGCCCCCACCGGAACTGGGCTCCAACATGCATCTGGGGGCGGGGGTTAGAAGGAGTAAAATGTTCTGAGCACAACCGGCTGTGTGTGTGTGTGAGAGAGAGACATGAAATGAAGTCCGTCAGCTCTGGGACAACAGCAGCACTTTATTTAAAAAAGTGATGAAACAGGTCTGTACATATTTACAGGCTGGGGAGCAGGAGGCGTGGGTCCAGGAGCAGAGGCACAGGCCACTCACTTCTTGGAGAGTTTGACTTGTTTGTGCTTGGGGGGTGCCCACTTGAGGCAGACAGAGTCCACTGTGGGGAGAAAAGATGGATGAGAAGCTGGACGCCCCCCTACCCCCCTCCCCCGACTGGGCCGGTCACCCTGGCTGCTCTGCCCTGGGCCCAGGCCAGGTTTCACCTGCAGATGGGAACAAGGGCAGACTGATTCCTGGGGTGGGGGTGTGGGGGTAGAGAGGGAAGCCCAGGAATGAGTGGCCTGCCGCAGGCTTAGTCCTGGAGCTGGTCAGACTGGTTTGGGATCAGGTGACAGCAAAAAGGAGGCCTTGGCTCCTGGAGGTCCTTACACCTAACCCCCACCACTCTCACACCCCTAGGGCAGCCCCTTTACCCACCTGTGATGGGTGGTTTCTTATACTGAGCGCTTTTGAGGTGTTCCTCCACCAGCTTGGGCGTGACACAGATCACGTGCTGGCCCTTCCAGTACTTGACCATGTTGAGGGACTGGAGAGTGCTGATGATGTCATTCTGAGTGATGCTCGTCATCTGGCTACACAAACAGATTAGAGCAGATGCTGGAGAGAGGTCTACTTTAGGGGTTTGGCTGGAAGGGGCCAAGGAGAGGGGATCACAGGCCATCGGAGGAGAGTCCTTCCCTTTGGAAGGACTTACCTAAGGTCCTTGATGGACAGGGTGCCCCGGAAGTCTCGCAGGATCTCCAGCAGGACCCAGGACCAGTAGCTTCGGTAGCTGAGCTTGCCCAGGTCAGACAGTGGCTTCTCAGGGGAGCCGACCGTGCTCTCCAGCTTCGAGAGCTCATAGCCTGGTGGTGGTGGAAACGAGGAAACTGAGGACCCACCCCACCCTGGCACTCCTCACCATCATCACCCTTCCTGCAGGAATCACTCACTGAAAGCAATGAGGAACTTCCCGTAGCCACGGCGCTGGTAGGGGGGCAGCGTCAGGATGCAGGCCACGTTGTTCCCATCTGGGGACTCCTTCTCCTGCGGGGGTGGGTGGTCAGGGCCTCTGGGGAGACTCAGCCCCTACTCGGGTTCATCCACCCCCCACCCCCTGCCTCCCTCAACCTGGGCTTCCCAGCACCTTTGAGAAGTAGCCGACAATGTGGGCCCCCTGCCTGTCCACCTCGGTCAAGATGTAAAAGACGAACGGCTCCACATCAAAGTACAGCGTCTTGTGGTCCAGGAAGAGCTTGGCCAGCAGACACAGGTTCTGACAGTAAATCTGAGGGGATGGGGGTGGGTGGAAGTAGGCTCAGGGGGCAGGCAGAATGCCTCCACCTAGCTCCATCAAGGTCTGGGCAGGTGCTGCCACCCTGCCTGGTGCAAGTGACAGGCTCGATAGTAGCCAGTGCCAGTCCGGTGAAAAGTGGGATCCTCACCAGAACGGCTGTGTTTAGCATTGCAAGGAGTCTTAAAGTCACTTTCTGATGGACGAGGAAATGGAAACTCAGACAGGAACGCGCACTCAAGGAGGTCACAGCAGAGCCGGGCTAATCACGGCTACTGCTGCTGAGCGCTCAAGGGGAGTTTGATCTTTAGAGACACAGACTCTTCTATTTCAGCTCAGGAAACAGACTCAGAGGAGACAGCGGTTTGCCCAAGGTCCCTCAGCTGATGAGCGCCAGGGCAGGACTCAAGCTGGTGTGTGAGTTCTGTCTGCTCATAGCCGTGCCCTCAGACCTAGCACATGGCGAAGGGTGAACCTGGGGGGTTGGTAAATGTCTGCAGACGAACAACCCTTGAGCCTGACTCCACAGCCCAAGCTATCTACCCCTTCAGCCATGCCAGGCCAGAGACCAATGTCAGGAGGGCCAGCGGGACTCTCATTTGACCCAACAGTTGTGTGAGCCCCAGCACTGTCGACCCATTTTGCTTAGGAGGAAACAGGATCTGTAAGGGTGAGGGACTGCCTGAGGCCTCAAAGCTGGACAGGGTGGAGCTGGAAAGAACATCCACACCTCTGCTCTGTCTTTCTGCCCCTCCAACCCCACCTCCCACCCCACTGATGTTCACGAAGGCAGAGCAGGGGGCTCACGTGAGGCTATTTAGCAAGCTATTCATCACAAGGCTGGCAAAAGCCCGTGTTTACTAAGTCCCTGCTCAGTACCAAGAACTGGGCTAAGTACTTGACTTTGCCGCTTCATTTATTCCATTAACAAGTCTCATAGGTAAATATTAGCATGACTCCTGTCTTAAAGAGGAGAAAAGAGGAACAGAAGACCTTATGTAACTTGTCCAAGGTCAGCAAGGAAGTGACAAGGCGATTTGAAGCCCAGAGCCACTCAGAAGCCAGCCCCCTGCAGCTTACACTCTGCTGTCCTTGCACGGGAATCAGGGACCCTCGGGGAGACCCTCCCAGACTGACCAGGCAAAGGCCAAGTTGTCCATGACAGCAAAGCAGGCCCCGGAGACCACACACCACCCCACTGAAGTCCTTCAGAGCCACAGAGCCCTCGGGCAGGAAGCCTCACACAGAGCAGTTCCCATCCAGGAAAAACAAACACCATTTCTTCAGGCAGAAAGAGAAAGCAGGTTTGAACAATACCCTGAGGCCGGACATTCTCCACTCTGGGTTCCAGAAGCACCTGAGCCTAAGCCACCCCCAGCTACCCCCTCAGAAGCCAAGTCCCTCGGGGACAGAAGGAAAACCCAGAATCCGAGGGTGGCACCATAGGGAGCTTGCTTTGCACCGAACACAGGCTGGGTGCCAGGCCGAGCACAAGCACACAGGCCTCTGCTCACACTAAGGCTGGCCTCTGCCCTTTATTGATAGTGAGGATCATCAGGAAGTGCCTAGCTTGTCCCCCATCTCCATGGTAACTCTGCCCAAGGGCTCACCTTGTGGTCTTTGCCATCCACTTCATACACAGAGATGTTGCTCTTGCGGTAGATCTCCTTTCCCGGGGGTTGCCGCCACTGGCACTGGCCCTGGGTTGGGGGTGAGAGGGGGGAAGCACAGATGTGGGGTCCCGAAGTTCCCCGCTGGGTGCCCCATCCCACCCTGTGTGGCTTACAGCAGGCCTCCGCTTCTCTCCACTTCCCCAGTTGGAGACCCTGGGGCTCCACCCTTTACCTATATCAAGTAAGCCACCAACCATCTGAGCAGACGAATCCTATTTTACAGATGGAGAGACGGAGGCCCAGTAACAGGCCAGGTGACTGGCATGAACATCACACAGCAGGATAGTTACAAGTCCAGCTCAGCCTGGCTCTGGAGGGCCAGCACCTGTGACACGGTTGTTTTCTAAACCACACACATTTGTCTAAGAATCCACCCTGTGGGAAACACACCACCATGCCAGCCAGGTGGCTCCTGTGTGTGGCCAAGCATTCCAACCGTCTAGGTGTCATGATCCCATGGCTCAGGGCTCTGCTGACTTCCTCTTTTGCACAGAGGAACCTGGCACTGGACTGGCCTTGATAAATATGTGGTGAGGGCCAGGGACCCCAGAAGGTCCCCATTCCACAGAAAAGGAACCTGAGTCGGGAGGCTCCAGCCAAGGCAGAGTCAGGCCTGGAAGCCAGGTCTCTCCACCCGGGCCAGCTTTTCCTACGGCTCTGGGCCTGTCTCTCCTGCCCCTGGCCACTGTCTCAGGCAGCCCTCAGCTTTGATGCCCACCCATTGCATGCACCAGACCCAGCCCAGCCTCACCAAGTGGAAGCGGTAGCTCTTCTCGTATTTCATATACTTGAGACAGTACTCGCAGAGCCAGAGCTTGGGCTGTTTCCCATAGTCTTCGGGGAATGGGGAGAAGTACCAGGCGTCGATTTCGTAGTTCCCAATGTGGATCTTGTCCACGTACTTCACCTTGGTGATCTGTGGGCGAGGTGGGAGGGGAGGGAAGGAGGGCTTGGTCGGGGCAAGAGAAGCAACAGGGAAGGGGCACCTCCGCTTAGGACCCCTCCCCCTACTTACCGCCTCATGTTCCTTCTCCAAAGCTGCTGTTGTGGGGTCCATCTCTGCATAGGTCTGAGTGAG